TTTCTGGTGGTGGAAAGGGAAGCATTGATGTTTGGAAATGCCCTTTAGCAACCGAAAACCTTCCGTTCCCCAGTGACGTTTGTAGGATCATATGATCAGAAAACTCAGTGTGTGCATACGAGTGTTGGCTAAAATGGGTTTGGGAGCTTCTGTGCAGATGGGTGCGTTACGCTGGCTGCAAAACTTGGTTATCTCCTGGTGGCACCATAGTGAGGGTCCAGGTCTTGGTTATGGTAATCAGGGAAGTCCTCAGTGAGAGGAACAGACTTGGCTCATGGCAGCCTTGCCAAGAGGTTGTTTGCCTGCTCTGGAGATGTCCTGGAGAAGCTGATCCGTACAGAACCTGGTGTGTACAAAGAGGTGGAGCTGGTTCTAATTTCAGTTTGTTCTGGATCCTATCAAGGCCTCGGAATTGCCAAAGGTTTACACTGGTTGAGGTAGTTATCCTGTAGACAGGCCACCAGCAGTCCAGAGGAGCACCTAGCAATTCCCCTTTACCACAGTCATTTGGCCTTAGCTTTTCCTGTTGTCTGTCTCATCTTGACTGTGGTTTTTCCCTTTGTGGCTTTGATCAAGGTGTCCATCTTGCCTGCTATGGTTTCCCTGTCTCGGGGAGTAACTGTCTTATCTGGCTGCAAAGGCTGTGCAGAACAGAACTGGGGAACCCTTTAGCTCCTTCTCTTCTGCTTTTTCCTTTTGGGCATGTCTTGTGGATGGAGAGCACTGCTCCAGCCCCATCTCTGCAGCCTTAAGCTGCTCAGTCATTTGAGGAGCTTTTGACACCCCTGTTGCGCTTTGGATGGTACCAGCTGGATCACATACCTCCTGGCAATGCCTGACAACTGACAGGTAGAGGATGCTGGCATACCAGCACTGTGGTCCCTGCCTTGGAGTAGCAAAGCTGCTTCTCAAGGAACCGGCTCATCTTCCTGCATGTTTGAGTCTTGGAGTCCTTGTGCATAACTCGCTTCCTGAGCCAACTTTCCACAAACACGGTTTGTTTTTCTGCAATTTGTGTAATCCCCACAAACTCAGCCCTTTATATCCTGGATCTGCTCAGAAGCTGAGGATACACCATGTTGCTGAGAAGAGACTTCTGATTTATTTGCTCATGTCTAACTGTGGCAGCAGAAGGGATATCAATAATAAACTTAATGTCTTGCAGGCTTTTTCTTTTTAAATGAGAACAAGAAATGGATCCCCAAGGAATGGGCTCAGAAATGACAGCTGCCCAGAAGCATGTTGGAACAGGGTGCCCAGAGAAGCTGTGGCTGCCCCATCCCTGGCAGTGCTCAAGGCCAGGTTGGACACAGGGGCTTGGAGCAAGCTGCTCCAGTGGAAGGGGTCCCTGCCCGTGGCAGGGGTTGGAGCTGGAGGAGATTTAAGGTCCCTTCAACCCAAACCAGGCTGGGGTTCTGAGAGGCGCAAGTGCTGTGTAATTTGTCAGTGTGTTTGTTCTGGTTATTGAAAAGCTCTTGAAGATCCATGCTGTGAACATGAGCAGTTGGCCTGATCCAATACCTGTACCTAGAGGTACCTGGAAGGAGGTTGTAGTGAGGCTGGGTTGGTCTCTTCTCCCAGGTAACAAGGGACAGGACAAGAGGAAACGGCCTCAAGCAGCACCAGAGGAGGTTTAGACTGGAGGTTAGGAATTACTTCTTCACTGAAAGGGTGCTCAGGCATGGGAACAGGCTGTCCAGGGCAGTGCTGGAGTCACCGTCCCTGGAGGTGTTTAAGGGATGTGCAGATGTGGTGCTAGGGGACATGGGTTAGTGGTGGCTTTGGCAGTGCTGAAGGAATGGTTGGACTTGATGATCTGAAGGTCTTTTCCAGCCTAACTGATTCCATGGTTCTATGAACGTTGGGTTTGAGCTCGATGAGCTGTTGACAGTTGTGAGGAAAGGCAGCGTGTTGATGAGCTGAGCTTTAGGGAGCCAGGAAAGGGACTGGCTTGGCTGAAAACTCTTGTTCATGTTTAGCTGGTATGAAATTGGAACCGGAGCACGCTGCAGATGTTATCTGTGGATTTCGGTTACTTCCTTGCTAAGTGTATCCATGAAAACCTTTACTGCTTTTCCTTTGTCTTTGCTGAATGGCATGAGTCAGATACTAAAGCCCTGACTTCAGGTTCCACCCTGGGATGGACCCCAACAAGGAAACGCCAAATAACTTGTGACAGAAAGCCACGTGTTTCCTGATGGATACGGGTGGCCATTCCCTTCCAGCCCCAAATAGGGCTGTGGGGACAAGGCCGTGGTGTTGCCTCTACCTATCAGATGTGGAGCACAAAGAACCTCAGTGTAAATCCTGCCAGGACACAGGGAACGAGGGCAGCTTTATTCCAATGTGCAAAATGGACCTTTTTCCTCTGGACTTAAAAAACCCCAAAGCTTTGGCTGAACAAATGGAACTGACCTTTTTTTATTAAAAACATGTATCTTCTGCCTGCTTCAGCGAGAGGCTTTTCAAGCTGAAAAGACTCCTTAGCTTCAAACCAATGACTTAAGCCATTCCAACGGCATTTATCATCTTCCTCTTTGCTCCTTGAATGTGGAGAGCTCGTAGCCTTTATTTTATCCAAGGAGAGCAGGAAGAACAGTGACTCCGACCCCGTGTGCTCTTTGCACAGGTGGAGAGGGGCTGAGTCAGGGCAGTGCTGAGCCTGCTCAGTTCCTTTCTAAGTTGATGGGAAGATTCCCATTTGTTCCAATAGGCATTGACCTGCCCACAGGCTCACGCTTATGCCTGTTGAGCTCCAGAGGAAGGACCGAAGGTGATGAGACACCAGTGAAGTGCAGTCTCCTTGCACGTGTTCACCACGACAGGAGCCGTGCTCACAGGTTGTGTAAGAGTTGCTTCATTTCCAGGACATGAAAGAACACTCGTGCTTCCCCAGCTCGGTGTTTTCGGGCCTCCAGCGAGCACATCCTCATACTGGCTTTTTGTTTTCTTCCCCTGTAGTCTGGCCCAGCTTCCAACCAGGAACAAGCCCTTATTTTCTTTAGCTATTTTAGTTTGATTTAGGCTTAGCTGAACCTGGCGGAACTGCAGCTCCATGGGAATGTTTGTCTGCTGTTGTGCACAGGGACCTTGAAATAAACCCCCCCACATTTCCTTTGATGGGATGGCAAAGGTTCCTTTGCCTGCCTCTACCTCCAGGAGCTGGAGAGTGAAGATTCCCCCCCTACCCCCTAACTGACACACAAGTAATTCTATATTTCTTCTTTGGTAAGTTTTAGAGTTATTTTTATTTGGTGTTTCCCCTCCTTTTAAGGAGGCTTTTTAGCCTTTTCAGTTTCTTTAGTTATCTTTTATGGGTTTGTTTTACTCTTGAAACCCAGCCACCGGGATGAGACACCATTCCAGCTATGAGCCCAGAGTCCTGCTGCACAGGGATTACTGTGCGTGCCTTACATAAGGCAGCCCTGTTGACGGACACAAGGATTTTGGTGTTCACTAGCAGTACAATGTTGTTGGCTCGTGTTCAGCTTGTGACTAATTGTAACCCCAGCTCTTTATTTCTGCACAGCTGCCTCCTAGGGACCAGGCTGAAGGGGATGGGAGAACACGGGATTTTCTGAATTGCTGAAGCATGCCTGTCTTTGGGATTGGGAGAACCCCTGCCAGGGAGGAGCAAGGCTGTTGCTGGCACCTTGGGAAGGTGCTGCCTTCCCTCAGTGGGTGCTTGAGGCCAGAACCCCGCTGCATGCTGGGCTGCACCCCCAGAGCGTGAGCAGCAGCTCAGGGAGGGGATCCTGCCCCTCTGCTGTGCTCTGGGGAGACCCCCCCTGCAGCCCTGACTGAGCCACCTGAAGCCTTGAAGTGCTGGGTTCACATGGGGGTGTGAGCATCAGTTTCCAGAATGGCTGTGGGGGCTCCTGGTTGCCTTCCCCATCTCTGCATCGTTGGCACGTTCGCTTTGAAAGGCTTCACCAGGTTAAAGGTACCAGGAATCCTCTCTAAGAAAGGCAAATGTGCAATTCCAATGCTAAATGATGTAAGTAGGACACTTGGAGCATTAATTTGATGGTAAGACAGCCTCACAAAGCCTATTAAAGGGGACAGAAGGGGAGCAAAAGCAGTGGTGTTGGTCCCTGGGGTGCTGGTGGTGGAGCGGGTCCCGCTGCGTGGCTCTCACTGGGTGCCCTGTGTTCCCGCAGGTCTCTGCCGCCCGTGCCTGTCCCCGTCCCCAGCTCCAGAGCTGCGATGACGACTGGGGACTGCTGCCACCTGCCCGGCTCCCTCTGCGACTGCCCGGGAAGCGCCGCCCTCTCCAAGGCCGTGGAGGACTCGGACCTGGGCCGCCCGCAGTACGTCACACAGGTCACTGCCAAGGATGGCCGGCTCCTCTCCACCGTCATCAAGGCGCTGGGGGCACAGAGGTAGGGCTGCTGCAGGGAAGGCCTTTGGCCTGGCTCCATCTGGGCTTTTCTGCTCCTGTTCCTGTGGCTCTGGGGGTAGAGGGAGGCAACAGAGCCCTGTGGAGCTCTCCAGAGCACTGCTGTTGGGACCGAATCTTCATTAGCCAGGTGCTTCCCAGGCCTGGGCTGTCTCTGGGGGAGCCCGCACCCGTGCCGTGTCCTGGTGGACTGGGACTTGCACACTCATCAGCCCCCTCCAGGAGCGTGGCTGCTCCAGCTGAGATGGGGCAGCCTCTGCCTGGGTGCCTCTGCCAAGTCCTTGCAGAGCAGCAGTGAAGGTGGGATGCCACAGAAGCAAGAGCAGTGTGCTGGCTGTGGAGATGATCTCCCTGCAGTCCCGCATGCAGCTCTTGGGCTACAACACAGGAGGGATGTGGAGCTGCTGGAGAAAGTCCAGAGGAGGCCACAGGGATGCTGCAAGGGCTGGAGCAGCTCTGCTCTGGAGACAGTGTTCAAGGCCAGGTTGGACGGGTCTTGGAGCAACCTGCTCTAGTGGAAGGTGTCCTTTCCCCTTGCAGGGGGTTGGAACTGGATGAGCTTTGTCCCTTCCAATCCAAACCAGTCTGGGGGTTCTGTGATTTAAGAGCTGAAAATGGAGCACAGCCCCTGTTCCAGGATGGTCATGGTGTAAAAGTGTGGGGTTAATTTGCAGCCCCAGGGAAGGAGGGTGTTTGTGTTGCAGGAATCCCAGTGCCTATTTATTGCTGGAGGGGACATGTGGCAGCTTCACTTGTTCACTGTTCTTGATGTGACTTCTCATCACTTATCTTGAGCAGCTTCCAGAGCAGCGGCCCCATGGCAGCGTGGGGCACTCCAGCCACTGAGACCAGGCACATGCTGTCTTCAGATCCTCTTAACAGCTGTTATTTTGTTTTCAATGAATTTGGCCAAACGTTGATGAGGTGTGAAAGTGGTGACTGCAAGCGTGGGGGAGGAGAGCAGGAACGCCAGAGCAGCACGTCATTGCTATCTCTAAACCTGGAGCTGGTTGATAAGCACATGAAGGGAGCTGAGCTTCCTCTCTGACACCAGATAGGCTGAGTGAGAAGTTGTGCAACCCCTTAAAGCTTGTGGAGGTGTAATAATTGTGTGGGGAACCTGCCTGGTTAAAAAAATCCCACCAGGGTTCCTCATGTGTCTTGGTGGGACACCAGTTTGTTCATTTTGGTGGGGGTAGGTTTCAGGCTCTTATCCCTTAACAGAATGAAGCCAGAAGCAGTGTGACTATACTGGAATGCTGAATTACTGATAGAGTCTCTACAGCCTGCTGGAAAACTGTGTCTGAGGGTGTTGGCATTGTGACCAGAGCCTTCCCTCTGTGGATAGGAAGGAAGGAAAATGGAGGCTGATAAGAAATTGTTTCTTGCAAGGTCAGCAAATTTTTTCCTTCTGGATTTGTTTCGTGGTAGCCAAGGTTATATTAATGCACTGGAAATATGAAACTTCTCAAACAGGAAGAGAAGGGATGAAATATCTTACAGATGCTTTTCTAAGGAAATAGCAGATGCATGAGAGCACTGGAGGCTTGGGGGTTCTTTTGGTCTGTCCCTGTCCCTGGGGCCATGTGAGGGGACTGTCATGTTGTCACTGAGCCAGCCCGGAGCTTTATGGCAGTGGAGGGTACAGAGTCATCAGATGATGCTGAGTTGGAAGGGAATCCTGGGGGCCCAACCTCCTGTCAGAGCAAGGCCAACCTCAAAGAAGGGTCAGGCTGCTCAGAGGCTTGGCTGGGGCACTTCCCAGTGTCTCTGAGGATGGGGTTTCCGCCTCCTCTCCAGACTCCCATTGCAGGGGTTGTACTGGCTGAAGAAGCCCCCTAAATAAAAGGCACATGTCAAGGAGGAGAGACCAAGGGTCAGTGGTTCACCAGGAATGTTTGGTAGGGAGAAGGGGATGGTGCAATGTGTTTATGATGCCTCACAGCCCTAAATATAATTAAGAAACCCAACTGGAATGAAACCTCCTAAACATTGAATTGAAAGGGGTAGAGTTCTGCTGTGATGCACATCAGCCCAGTAAAGGAGAAGCAAGATCCCTCTCCTGGTGTATTTTCTTGCTGGCTCTTCTCTTCCCTTTGTGTCCCAGCAGCATTTTTCCTCAGTCCACTCCTTTGCTTTGCCCTGTTCTTCTGTGTCTGACTCTTGCTTTGCCTGGTTGTGCAAACTGATGGAGATGTGCTACTGCTTGCAGATTGCTTGCTCTGACCAGTGTGTTGCAATCCCACAGAGTTCTTTTGCTGTCAGATGTGTGTTTAAAGGCAGTGGAGGATGAACTGTGAGAGGTGGGGCTTTAGTACCATCAGCAGTGTTTGGGAAAAGGTGGCAGCAGACATAACTCACCTGGATTTCAAGAGGACATGCAATAGGGTGTTTGAAATACAGATGTCCCCTTCTCACTCTACCTCCCACCCCAAATCTGTGCAACTATGGATGTAAAAGAATGGTTGTATGAAAGAAATGGCTGGTTGAAGGGTTGGAAGTGAGATAGAATTGTAGGCTCACAGCCTGGTTTGGGATGGAATGGACCTTAAAGCTCATCTCAGTTTCAACCCCCTGCCATGAGCAGGCACACCTTCCACTAGACTAGGTGGGCTGGGGCATGCTGTGACCACTGTGATCACCCAGCTTTGCTTTGGGCTTCTGGATTGCATCAGTGCTCCAGGGCTGGTTTCAGGTCAGTGGCTGAGCTGAGCTGGCCAGGCTGATGTGCCAGGTTGTCTTGGGTGCTGTGGTGCTCATCAGCACCATCCAGATTTTACTGACCTAAAACATCTCCACGCTCCCTTGACACGGGTTCCTTGCCTGGCACACTCTGCCGTGTGCTGCCTGCTCTGCACGTGCCCTTCTTGGACTTGGTGGGCTCAGACCCATTCTCTGATGTGGCTGGATGGTTCTGCCTGTTCTGACAGTGATTTCATTCTCTTTGTCTGCCTCTTTAGTGATGGTCCCATCTGTCGAATCTGTCACGAAGGTGGAAGTGGGGAGGGACTGCTTTCCCCGTGTGACTGCACAGGAACACTGGGCACCGTGCACAAGAGCTGCCTGGAAAAATGGTTATCCTCCTCCAACACAAGTTACTGTGAGCTCTGCCACACAGAATTCGTTGTAGAGAGAAGACCGAGACCTTTGACAGAGGTACTGCTTTCTTCCTGCTTCACTTTGAGTTCCTTACCGCTAGAGAAAAACCGATTTGCCCTGCTGTCCTTGTGGTTCTTGCTGTCTCCTCCTCCTCCTTAGCACCCAGTCAGAACAATTTGTGTAGAGACATCAAGCCTCTTATAAGACCAAGTGATGTTACTGGAAAAATGCTGTAGAGGTTTGGGGCAACTCTGTGGACCCCCGTGTGCCACTCGCCAGAGTCAGGCTGTAGGAGCTAAGGCTCAGGTTAGAAGTGACCTTAAAGCTCCTCCAGCCCCAACCCCTGCCAGGGCAGGGACCCCTTCCACTGGAGCAGCTTGCTCCAAGCCCCTGTGTCCAACCTGGCCTTGAGCACTGCCAGGGATGGGGCAGCCACAGCTTCTCTGGGCACCCTGTGCCAGCGCCTCAGCACCCTCACAGGGAAGAGCTTCTGCCTCAGAGCTCAGCTCAGTCTCCCCTCGGGCAGGTTCAAGCCATTCCCCTTGGCCTGTCCCTACAGGCCCTTGTCCCAAGCCCCTCTCCAGGTTTCCTGCAGCCCCTTTAGGCACTGGAGCTGCTCTCAGGTCTCCCCTTCAGGAGCCTTCTCTTCTCCAGGCTGCCCCAGCCCAGCTCTCTCAGCCTGGCTCCAGAGCAGAGCTGCTCCAGCCCTCGCAGCAGCTCCATGGCCTCCTCTGGTCTCGCTTCAACAGCTCCAGGTCCCTCTTGTGCTGTTGCCCCAGAACTGGATCAGGACTGAAGGAGGGGTCTCCCTAGAGCACAGCAGAGGGGGAGAATCCCCTTCCTTGCTCACGCTCTGGGAATGCAGCTCCCTGACAATCCAGCTCTGTCTGTGTGTGTTTAAAAAGCCTTCAGGAGGAGGGAGGCTGGGAGCTGCCTGTGGACTGGAGGAGACGTTTTTGTGGGAGCTGTGGGCAGTGACATTGTCGAGTGGAAATGCTTCTGCAGAGCCTCAGAAAGTTCTTGGAAGTCAGGAAATGCCACATCCAGAAATTGCCTTAGTTTTTACTTCAGTCCTCTTGTATATCTGCATTACAGTGTGCTCTTTACATGTTCACAGGTTTCCTCTTGTATATCTGCATTACAGTGTGCTCTTTACATGTTCACAGGTTTCCTCTTGTATATCTGCATTACAGTGTGCTCTTTACATGTTCACACGTTTCCTCTTGTATATCTGCATTACAGTGTGCTCTTTACATGTTCACAGGTTTCCTCTTGTATATCTGCATTACAGTGTGCTCTTTACATGTTCACACGTTTCCTCTTGTATATCTGCATTACAGTGTGCTCTTTACATGTTCACAGGTTTCCTCTTGTATATCTGCATTACAGTGTGCTTTTTACATGTTCACAGGTTAGGATGAAAGGTGCTCACTAGCTAATGTGGTTTATCATGTGTGGCTGTTGTGTGTTCTTGTACCCCTGCTCACAAGACCAAGGTATTCATTTCCCCATGAGCTTCTCTGGCGCACCTATCATTGTGATATCCAGCAGCCTCCTTTAGGGAGGGAAGGCAGCCCCCTTGTTCAGCATAGATTAAAGAGAATTGTTTAGTAGAATTGGATTTTATGTTCTTTAAGCAGCCATTTATTTCTGTTGTGGTTTGTTCAATGTAAAAATAGTAACAGTGCTCTCTGCCAGCATCCCTGACCTCTGAACCAGGAGCTGGGGACTTGTCTGAGCCTGGAGCCAGCTCTGGCCTGGGCTATGGTGTGGGGAGGATCTCCCGTGCAGTTTGGTTGTTGTTTTAGCTCAGAAGTTGGTTGAAAGCTGGAAGAAAAGCCCCACAAAAGGCTTTGGTTCCCTGTCAGGCTGAGTGGTTTTGGGGGGCATGTTCTGAACCAGTGCAGGTGGAGGTGCAGAGTGGAACTGCAGCCGCCGGTGCCTGGGCAGGGTCTGCAGCCAGCTCGCTGTGCTGTGACAGGACAGAGTGGCTGCCATAGTCTGACTGACTGGCAAATACATTTCTGTGTTACCTGGAAGACTTCAGCAGCAGGTAATGCAGATGAAATGTTCAAGCCATAGGTTGCCATGCATTCATGGTGCAGTCGGTTATTATTTCGTGGGAGATGCTGCTGCGTACAAGCAAAGGGAGCAGCAGTGGCAATACTGCCATTCCTGCTTGTGGGATTAGGAGCAGAAATGTTGCCTCTGGGCGCAGAACTGGGTGCCCCCCCCCCCCTCCAGTTCAGAGAACTGAGCTGTGGTGGCAGCTCCCCCCCCCCTTCCTCCAGCCTTATCTTCTTTCCAGGAAGACTTTTCTGGGCTTTCCTTGAACTCTTGTGCTGAACTCCCTGCGCCATCCTCTGCCTGGGCTCTGCTCCTCTAACCCAGCTTGGGTCTCTCTGTCCTCAGTGCAAGTTTGATTCCTCTGTCTAGAGAAAACCAAATCCCCTTGGCTCCAGCTGAGTTCCATTCCTCTCTTGGCTTTTCATAGAACCACAGACTGGTTTGGGTTGGAAGGGACCTTAAAGCTCATCCGGTTCCACCCCCCCTTTTGCTTGCATTTGCTGTCTGGAGATGCTCTTCTCAGATCCCACCCTCGATACTCGTGGTGTTTCTCTGTGTAGTCCCTGGCTCTGCTCTGTGAATCTGGAGCGGCCTCTTTGGGGTCAACACTGGAGATAATTCATCCCTGCACTCTTGGCACTTGTGAGCACCAGTCTCTTCCTTCCATGCCCATTGTCACCACTCTGTCGGGTCCTGTCTGCACTCTGAGGATCTAGAGGTGCAGCTCCTGGCAATGCCTTGATTTTATGATCTTATATTTGGACATGTCATGGCATTTCCTGTGGTGACATCAAGCACAGAAGCACTTGCTGCTGTGTAGAAAAGTGTCCTGGTGACCTGCAGTGCTGCTTGGGTCAGTTCCTCTCCTGTCCACTATTCCTAGCGCTCCTGCAGCTCCTGCTCTCCTTGGGCAGCAAGCAGCCAGCTCTTTCCCTTTAGTCTCACCCATGATTGCAGCATGGAAGCAGTTGTTACTTGGATTTGGCCTGGAAGAAGACCAAGTTGTGCTTTTGTTGCTTTCCCATGTTTACTCGATAGTTTTCCCCCCACAAATAGTTTAAGCTGACAAACCACTTTATGGATTGTTTGGAAGGTTTGTTTTAATCCTGTATGCAGCGATGTGCTGCTGCGCCAGGAGCCCCGCGCCCTTTGGGTGCCTGATTGTGTTCTTGTTGTTACTGTGTCAGTGCATATTGACAAAGTAAATCAACTGCTTCAAAAGGAAATTAATTTGCTTCCTGCCTTTACATGTTTGGCTCCCATCTTGGGGAGGAAGAAAGAGTTTAAAAGTTCACAAGGAATATAAATAGAAAAACATGCAGTGAAATACCTTTCTGCCTTCAGTCCCTGAGATTCTTCCAGAGAAGGCCACAAGGATGTGAAGGGGCCTGGAGATGAAGACAGAGAGAATCTGGTTTGTTCAGCCTGGAGAGGAGAAGCTGCGTGGAGACCTCAGAGCAGCTTCCAGTGTCTGAAGGGGCCACAAGGATGCTGGAGAGGGGCTCTTCATCAGGGACTGTAGTGACAGGACAAGGGGTGATGGGTTCAAACTGACACAGGGGATATTTAGGTTAGATATAAAGTAGAGGTTCTTCCTGTGAGGGTGCTGAGGCGCTAGCACAGGGTGCCCAGAGAAGAAGCTGTGGCTGCCCCATCCCTGGCAGCGCTCAAGGCCAGTGACCCTGTGCCTCGTACATCCCTCACTTTAGTTTGCTCTGGCTCGTGTGCACTCTCCACCCTCCCCTTGGGTCAACACTTTCTGCTTGTCTTCCTGGCCAGCCACGTGCTCAGCTTACCTGTGCTCCATTTTGACCTGTGTGGCCTCACAGATTTCTTGCATACCGCCACCAGCCCTCGTGTATTGCTGTTCAAACTCTGGTTTCCCCTGTCGAGAAGGAGCTTTGTGTGCATGGTTCTCAGGTGGGTCCTTTTTCATCCTGCCTGGTCAAAAGTGAGCACCAGGGCTGGCAGTCCGATGTGCCTGCCTGCCACGGGGATATTCCCTGCCCTGCTCTGACTGTGCCTTTGCAATCATGTTCTCCAATTAGTTTTATTTATTTGATTAGTTTTCAGTCCTAATTGAGGCCAGTCATCCTTGTGCAGGAAAGAAGGAAGGATCCAGCAGCCCATCCAGTGTAAAGAACTCTCACTAGGAATGTGCTGTAACAACCCTGGGTATTGGTAGGAACCACAGAAAGCACTGTTCTAAAAAAAGGAAAGGAAAGGCTGAAAATAGCAGAATCCCAGGAAAACTAGGACAATTTCTGCTATTAAAGTCAAGTAGCTAAAATGAATGCACACTGGAAGCAAGTCGGGACTCCTAAAAGTAGTTGAACATTTAGAGGTTATGGGTTGAGGGAAACCTTCCTGCAACAGAGCTTCCTAAGTTCTGCAGCCTGCTGATCTTTGAGAGCTGCAAAGCTTCTTGGTAGCACAAAGTGCTGCAGATCATTGCCTGGGAGGCAAGAAAGCAAGCCTGAAAATAGGAAGGAATACACAGAATGGGCTCTCCTACAGCTTGGCCTGGCCACAGACCCCAGTGCTCTGATTTCCCATAGTCCCTATACCAGTTGCAGAGTCCTGGGTATGTTTCTGTTGAAGCTCAGTCCAAGACCTGTCAGAGGCCAGGTTGGACACAGGGGCTTGGAGCAGCCTGCTCTAGTGGAAGGTGTCCCTGCCCGTGCAGTGGGGTGGAGCTGGAGGAGCTTTGAGGTCCATTCCAACCCAAACCATTCTGTAATTGGATGATGTTCTTCAGCTGTCTCTCCCCTTTCCCTTGCTGGTTGTTACAAATACCCTTGATGCTCTCTGTTTTTGTTAAGGTTTGTGTGCGTCCATACGGACTGCAGAGAGCCCATCCGAGCTCACCACCCCAGCAGTCCTCTTCTCCTTGCACGCTATGTGCTCCGAGTGCCGCTGCCTCATGCCCTCTTCTCCTTCCCTCTGCAGTGGCTGAAGGATCCCGGTCCCCGCAACGAGAAGAGGACACTCTTCTGTGACATGGTGTGTTTCCTGTTCATTACTCCCCTGGCTGCCATCTCGGGCTGGCTGTGTCTGCGTGGAGCCCAGGATCATCTGCAGTTCAACAGCCGCCTGGAGGCCATCGGACTCATAGCACTAACGATAGCACTTTTCACAATCTACGTCCTTTGGACGCTGGTAAGTGCCTGCTGCCCAGGGCCTTGTTTCTGTTCAGAAGGGAGATGGAGGTCCTGGCTCGCCCCATGTTCCTGCCTCCCCCTGGGAGACAACCGTGGCCTCTTTCTTTTGAAGGTCCATTTAATTTACTTCAAATAGGAGCTGCTTGCTGAGAATGAGAAACCACTTCCTGGTGATCTGCTTTCCAGACTGACACAGGAACAGTGTTCCCCGAGGTGTCATGTACCAGGGTGCAGAGTTGGGTGGGAAGGTGTGGTGCTGGGGGCAGGCAGTGCTCCGGTGGTGGTGCCTGCTCCTGTTTTCAAGCAGAAACACGGAATTGGTACCCATCTGGAAAATGTTTAACCCCTAAATAATAGATCCCTAAATATTCGGCCCTCTCTACCCTGCTCTTGTGGGGCCCCCCCTGCAATCCTGATCCTGCTTTGGGGCAGCAGCACCAGAGGGATGTGGAGCTGTTGAAGCGAGAGGAGGCCATGGAGCTGCTGCGAGGGCTGGAGCAGCTCTGCTCTGGAGCCAGGCTGAGAGAGCTGGGCTGGGGCAGCCTGGAGAAGAGAAGGCTCCTGAAGGGGAGACCTGAGAGCAGCTCCAGTGCCTAAAGGGGCTACAAGAACCCTGTCTAAGGGTTTTCCAGCTGCTTGCTGGGAAGCATGATTTTGGGAAGGGAAGGGCAGGAGTGCAGCTCCTGAGGAGGAGGAGTTGGACCCCAAACTGGTGGCAGGAGAAACGCCACAGCCCATTCCCTGCCATCCCATGCTCTGAGTTCTCAGAGTAACACCTTCCGCCGGGGCTGGGATGGTCCTGGGAGCTCTCCGACACAGATGTGGGTGCCAGGGGAGGGTGAGCTGGTGTTGCTGCCTTCACTGGGGAGGTGGTGGCTGCAATGGGTGCCTGATGAGTGCTGCTGTCAAAAGATGCGGTAACTGCAGTGCACAGGGCGCTGTTAAGGGAAGTCTCATGCAGGAGGTTCATTTCTGTGAAAGCTAAGCTAAAACTGGAAGCCTTAAGAGGAAATGCTTCTGTGTCCCGGGCCTGCTCTGGAGGAGCTGGAAATCTGGATGAAATGGAATAACTGGGGGGGTTATAGAAGAGCAAGTCCTGACTGAAAGGGCTCCAGTTCTGCTGAGCTTCCCATTCCCTTGAACAGAGAAGGACATGAAGTGAAGCCCCTTTATTCACATTTACCATGGAGCTCAGCTCTTCCTGTGTGTAATAGGGATACTGACTTTTCCTTGTCAGCCACACTTCCTACTTGCTAGGCAAATGTTTCCTGTACTCTCACAGAGGATGAAAGCTTGGTTTTGACAAGTTGCTGACTGGATTCAGTATTTAATTCTCTTGCTCATAATGTGTAGGGAAATAAATAGGAGGGGAATACATGTTCGCTTTGTGCCTTCCTCCAGAAACTCTAGGCAAGTTTAATTTCACAGCTAAGGAGTCAGCAGGAGCTGTGGGACAATCGGCAGCGGTGGTGAGGATGCTGAAGGACACAGGGAGGAGCCCGGCCTGCTGGGGAAGCACAGCTCGAAGCTCCCCCTTGCAGGGCTGCTCTAAAACTGCAGCCTCTCCTTCAGGTCCCCTGAGTCTTTGCATTCTCTCCCTGCCAAGCGAGTCCAGCCTCTGTGCTGCTGTTACACGGATCAAGGAGAGGCGGTTGCAAAGGGCAGAGATCTGTGAGATGGGAGGCGGCTGTTTGGGGTCAGACACGCGAGGCCGGCCCTATTGAGAGCCCCGTGTTTTGCCCAGACCAGGCGCTCACTTCAGCCCGTGGGCAGGGTGAAGCTGTGGTTCCTCCCTACCGCTCTCAGCAGCCTGGTACCCAGACTCTGTCCCCCTGCCCTGGTGCTGCCCAGGGGGTTGGAACTGGATGAGCTGTACGGTCCCTTCCCACCCAGAGCCCACGAGTCCATGAGACCCCTTTCAGTGCTGTCTGCTCTGGTGGGGGATGCAGCGAGGAGCACGCAGTGAGTGGATGGGTGATGATGTCTGTGGAGCCGCAGGCGCGGGGCCGGGGTTTGGTGACCCTCCTGCCGCATTGTCCCCCCAGGTCTCGTTCCGGTACCACTGCCAGCTGTACTCGGAGTGGCGCAGGACCAACCAGAAGGTCCGTCTGATGCTCCCGTCCTCGCGGAGCCCTCACCCCCTGCCCCACTCCCTCCTCTCCGCCAAGCTCATGAAGAAGGGCGCGGATGAAACCACGGTGTGAGCCCGTCCTGCCTGGCTGCGGGGGCCGGCACAGGCGAGGAGGGCCGGGGGTCCCCACGGGCACACAGGAAACGTGGCAACTGTGGAGGCCCTCGGGAGCAATCACCCCCCAAAGGACTTTGCAGTCAGTGTGTACTTTATATTGTGGCAGCCAGACAGAGAATTGATCACTGTCATGTGGATGGCCCAGAAGAGCCCCATGGTCGAAGGGGCCTGGCTGCAGGGACACTTTCCTGTCACGCAGTACTTTACGTGGAAAATATCCCCCTCTCTATATATATCTCTATATATAATATTATTTTTTAATGGCCATGCATATTGTGTTTCGGTCCTTTTGTGTTGATGTTCTAAGCTTCAGTTCTAGAAGCTGGCAGCCTGATCTCATTCAGAGGTTAAATCTATGCCTTTTCTCCAAATGAGCTTACAAGGAACACTTTGAAGAACATTGACGAAAAGTCCCCTTCTCCTTTGCACTAAGTTGGTTTTGATAATCCTGCAGCAGCCTTTCCCCTTCCCCTGGTCTGTCGTGCTGTTCCTGCCCCTTCTAGAAAGCTGTGTGTTCTTAAGGGTTCCTATAATCCCAGAAGGAGTAAAATGACGCAATTCCGAGCAGAGCCATTTTGTATAGGAAAGGATTGGAATTGTGAGAATTTCACAACACGTTTCAAAGTGAGAAGAGCTCTTCCTGTGCAGACCTGATCTCACAGAACACTTTCCTTGCGGATCCTGGCTCATCCCCAGGCCTCGGATGCACTCAGTTCTTGCTGTGTCTGGCACAGGTAGATGGAGGGTCTGAGGGTGGGAGGTGATGGCTTGGACGTGCTAAACCCATCATTGCCTTCTGCTTGTACGATTCTAAAAGGAGCTTTCCTGAGCCCAAAAGGGGCAAGCTGGGGTCTCTGTTTGCTGATGCCCTTTCACCACCTTGAGGCTGGACCTCTCGCAGTGCTGGTTACACGCTCCCCTCACAGGCCAGGCCAGGCCCGGCCCGCACTGCAGCCGCTGGGCAGGATGCGCTCTGCTGTCTCTGTGCTTCATGTGCACATTCCTCTGGAGGAGCTGCTGGCCCTGGGATCGTCCCTGGAAGTGCTCTGCCTGTTACCGGTGAAAGGCCCCGAGAGCAGGGAGGAGGCAGGCCCCAAGGTGCCCGTGTTCTCCGGGGCTGCTGGCAGTCACACACTGCGCCCCTCTGCTCCTGTGCTGGACACGAGCAGCCCAGCTGCAGTTACGGCCCCTGCACAGCAGCAGCAGCAGCAGCCTGCTTCGAGCTGGCTTGTGCAGTGGAGCTCCCAGCTCCACACACACCAACCACCCTTGGCAGTGGGGCTGCACCACTGCTCTGTGCCTTGCCCTGGCTGCTCCTTCCTTCAGCGACTTCCCCACACCCCCCTGGCACCAGGACATTCCCAGAGATGTGGGGGTTTCCTTCCCTTCCCAGCCCCGCTGCTCCCAGGAGCTTGGTCCTGCACCGTGTCTGGTTCTGGCAGGTGATGAAGGATGCGCGCTCCCCTCCTAAGGACTCTCTGGAGGCAGCGTTTCTCCCTGTGGATCACTGGGATCCACTCACTGTGGATCCAGGTATGCAACTGGGAAAGGCAGAAGTCCCTGGCTGGGGGCAGCAGGGGCCTGGCCCAGTGCTGCTGCATGGCCATGGCTGCACTCGCAGCTTCCTCCTCTTTCTCGTAGTTACCGGTAATTGGAGTTGTTGCTTGTGCCCCTGCAGAACCCAGCAGCGGCTCCTGGGGTCGTCTCCTCCTTGCCAGAGGAGATGCCCAGCTCCTGGGTGTGGGAAATCAGTGTCTGACCCGCCACGAGCCAGTGTCAGGGGGAGAGGAACCGGGCTGTGCAATCGAGTCAATAAAAGTGAGACAAAGCTTGGGCTCTTGCGTTGTTACTGGGGATGGAGGGGCCTTTACCTGTGTTCTGCTGTGAGGAATGTGCCCATTGCACGGGCTCGAACTGGGAATAAGGAGAGGCTCTGGATGTGTGGAGGAGATAACGGCTATCAGCAGCTCCAGCATCCAGCTGGGTTTGGGTTCCTCTAATTTAATGATTCAGCTTCGTTGGAAAGAGCCAGAGGCAGAGCCCGGCAGCTGCAGAGGAGCCTGGCCCTGCCCATGGCCCTGTACAGACCTCGAGGCCACGGCTCTGTCCTGGGCTGCCCGGCACCAAGCTCAGCCTTCATCGGGGCTCCGGTTGTCTCCAGTACCATCCGGAGCGGGGCTGGTGCCGCGTCCAGCACCTGCGCGTCCCCGGCTCGGTGCCCGGAGGAGCCCCGTGAGGAGGAGCTGGGGGGACTCGGGGGGCTCCAGCGCCCAGCACCGAGCCCCAGAGGGCGGCGGTGGCCCCTCGAGGCCCCCCCCGCGCGCTCCTCCAGGTCAGGGCCACAGCTGCAGCCACGAGTCCTTCCCCAGCCAGAGCCAGGGCCGCAGCCGCTCCCCGGGATGCGAATCCAGGCAGAAGGTGAAGATGGGGGCCTGGGTCTCGGCGTCAGCGAAGGCCACCGTCCTGTCGGCCAGGTCCAGGCACACCTGGATGGCCCGGGGCACGCAGGGGAGGTGCAGGGGGGTCCAGTCCGGGTCAGTGAAAGCGAACAATTGTCCGAACCACTGCCCCACGGCCCAGAGCCCCTCCTGCGGGGTGAAGCTGAGGACCCCCTTCCTCCTGAGGGACTCCTGCGCCACCCCCAGCGCCCACCACTGACCCCCCTGGGCCACCTCCACGGCCCAGCAGTGCCTCCCCGCAGCGAAGCCCGGGCTGCCCAGCACGCACGGCTCCGGCTCGAAGCGCTCGGCCGTGTCCGGCACCGGGCTCCACTCGTCCCCGCGGCGCACGCCCCGCCCGTCGGCAGCCAGCAGGAGGAAGGGGCTGGCGCTGCCCGGGTCCAGGGTCACGGTGCCTGCGGTGGAGGAGATGAGGATGCTCAGGACCGGCAGCCGCAGGGGCTGCGAGGTGGCGATTTCCTCCCCGGTGTCAGCGCGGGGCAGGAAAGCCCCAACTGCCCCCCCCCCAGCGGTGCCCGAGCCTGACCCAGGAGCTTCCAAGCGATCCCTGGCCACGGAGCCCTCGGTGTCCTGGCGGAGGGGGCACCTGCGTGGATGGTGCCCATCTGCCCTGCAGATACCTGCACCTGAGCTCGGGTGTCTCTAGGGCTGCGCACCTGGGCCCAAGCCAGTGCAGGTGTGGACAGCATTACCCCAAACCCCACAGCCCCCCATTCCCATTTCTCCCCATAGGACACGGAGAGAGCCAGAGGTGCAGCTCAGGTGTCTCTGGTGCTGGTGTCTACACTTAAGCAGGGGGAATTCAGCTGGGGTTTATTGCCCTAGGGCAAACCCAGGCTGGGACGAGCCCCAGGTGCTCTGATCCTAAGCAGCTCTTCCACGAAGAAGCAGGATGTGGTTTTGTCCTCAACAGAGAACAGTTCCCCCTCCTCTCCCCTTCTGGAAACTCACCGCTTCCACTCATCTCCTCCGCCTCCCCGGGCAGGGGCTCCCCCTCTTCCCTCTCCATCCCAGCTTCCAGCATGTCCATAGGAAAGCACCAGGAGCGGAGGCAGATTCCCTGTTGCCAGTGGGAATTGCAGGACTCAGAGGCTGCTTAAAGGTGGTAACGAAGGAATGATGGGAAAGCCACAGCATCCAGGCACTCACCTGCAGGCAGACCCCGGGAAAGGAGGGTTTGGGTGCGTCTGAAGGCTTCAGTCTGCTCCGCAGAGCCCCACTCTCTGCAGGGCTGGGCTGGGCTCACCCAGCTCGTTTGATGGGGCTGATCTGGGCACAGAGGGGCTGGGGGCCTGCGGAGCTGCGCTGGGGGCCGGCACCTCCTCCTCTCGGGGGGGGGGCAGAGCTTGCACCTCCCCTCCTCTTGGCCACCGCTTCCCATGCCCTGAGGCCGCCGGTGGCGCCGGACCTCCTCCAGCTTTGGGATGCGGGAGCCGCGGCATCTCCCCTCCCTCGGCAGCTGCCCCGGGTGATAAGCGCCGGGAAGGGGCCGTATCTCCCTGCAGCAGGGAGCCCAATGGCACCACGGGCACCTCCGGCCCCTGGGATGTGCCATGGGGACACCAGGCACGGAGCAGGGGCCATGCTGTGATGAGGGAGGAAGCTCTGCAGTGACCGTGGGGTCGAGCTGCGGGAGCAGCAGAACCGAGCTCCTTCCGTGCCTGGCCTGCGCTGCGGCTGCCCCACGAGTGCCCGAGCTGCCTCAGCCCCCCCTGCTGCTCCTGGCAAGCCAGGAGGGTCCCGGCCTGCACCGCAGGCAGGCGGGGGGGCACCGGGCATGAGCGGTTCCCCAGGGGTGAGGCAGCGGGGCCGGGCCCCGGGGCTGAGCGGCCTCAAGAACCAGAGCCCAGAGCGGGCTCAGCAAGAGCCGCCCCGGGGCAGGGGAAATGTTTGGGAAGGGCCCCTTTTCCCTGGGGGTCAGAAGGGAGCGGGGGGGGGATGGGGGGGTGCAGGGGCACAACCTCCCCCCCCACTGCGCGCAAGCAAGAGAGGAGGGAGCTGCTTATGGGGGAGACCGCTCCCCGCAGCCGGGCATGGCCGGAGATGGGCTCGTGCTGCTCAGGAAGCCGCGGGTTCCTGCCCAGGGCTGTGCGGGCTGATAGAGGCCAGGGCAGCCCCTGCCAGCAGCGCAGAGCCGGACCCTGGGGGCAGAGCAGCAGCAGCGGAGCCCCGGAGGGTCCGTGGGTGAGTGCGGGGGAAGCCGCGTTCATGGGGGCAGGCGCCCGGCGCAGCCAGGTCCGTGCAGGGGAAGCTCCTGCCTTGGGCACCCGGAGCTAGCAGGGGGCTCAGGTGGAGCCGGGGAAAAGGAGCCCGAGGGAGGCTCCCCCAGCACTGAGCTCTCTGGGGTGGGACGGGTGCGGGGATGCGAACACCACGGAGCCGCTGGCGCTGCAGCGGGAAGGGGGGGCACGGGGCACGTTCCTGCTGTGCCCACGCCTCCCGGCTCTCCCCTCCAGGCCATGCAGCTCCCTGCGCTGCTCCTGCTCCTGCTCCCAGCGCTGCCGTCCCCGGCCGGCACCTCCGAGCCCGGCCAGCCCTGCCCGGTGGAGATGAACAAGGTCAAGGACCTCCTGGAGGTGAACTGCAGCGGGCAGGCTCTCAGCGCGGTGCCCTCGGGGCTGCCCGCGGACACGGGCATCCTGCTCCTCAGCGCCAACCGCCTGGCGTCCGTGTCCATCAGCTCCTTCCTGCCGCTGCCGCAGCTGCAGGACCTCGACCTGTCCCACAACGGGCTCCAGGCGCTGCTGCCCGGGCCCCCGCTGCCGGCGCTGCGGGAGCTGATCCTGTCCCGCAACGCGCTGGAGGCGCTGCCCGCGCTGCGGGCGCTGCCGGCGCTCTCCCGCCTGGCCATGGGGCACAACCGCGTGGCCTCGGTGCCCCCCGGGGCCTTCCGGGCCGTGCCGCGCCTGCAGGACCTGGACCTGCGCGGGAACCGGCTGCGGAGCCTGCCCCCGGACGCCTTCGCGGGGCTGAGCGCGCTCAAGGACTTGGACATCTCCGACAACGCCCTGGAGGAGCTGCCCCGGGAGCTGCTGCAGGACCTGCGGGCCCTGGAGACGCTGTGGCTCTCGGGGAACCGCCTGCGGAGCCTCCCCAGCGGCTTCTTCCCCGAGGGGCAGCTCTTCATGTACGTCTTCCTGACCGAGAACCCCTGGCACTGCGACTGCCGCCTGCACTACCTGCGGGGCTGGATCCGGCGCAACGAGGGCAGCGTCTACCAGCCCGAGCGCGGCCTGGAGAAGACAAAGGTGGAGGTGGCCCCCGAGCGGGTGCTGTGCCACAGCCCCCCCGAGCACCGGGGGAAGGCCATCATCCACTTCAAGCCCAACTGCGGCAACGTGGGGGACGCCGAGGAGGAGGAGGAGGAGGATTACGGTGACGGGGAAGGAGCAGTGGAGGAAGCTGCCCCGGCTGCCGTGACCCCCCCGCACCCACCCGTCCCCAAGGAGCGCAGCACCGCGCCCCGTGCTGTTACCGCACTGCCCCCCAGCACCGCGAGCTCTGCTCCCACAGACCCCAGTGCTCCCAGCACCACCGCTCCTGCCCCAGCCAGCCCCACTCTCACCCCCACACTGGCCCCCAGCACCGCGAGCTCTGCCCCCAGTGCTCCCAGCACCTCTGCTCCTGCCCCAGCCAGCCCCACGCTCACCCCCACACCAGCCCCCAGCACCGCGAGCTCTGCCCCCAGTGCTCCCAGCACCTCTGCTCCTGCCCCAGCCAGCCCCACGCTCACCCCCACCCCGGCCCCCAGCACCACCACCTCCATGGCATCCACTGGAGCATCTCCCACCACCTCCGTGGCTCCACCGGCTCCCACCGTGCCAGAGGCCTCTTCCATTGCCAGATCCTCACCTCCTCCGCTGGTGCCAACCACACCGGTGGTCACCGCCTCTGACCCCCTGGGCACCGCAGGCTTGGAGCAGCCGGCACCTTCCCCCCCGGCTGCCCCCCTGCCGCTGTGTCCCTGCCCCACAGCCGGGCTGGAGGTACCGGTGCTGCGCTCGAGGGGAGCAGGGGATGCTCTGCAGGGCGGGCACTGGGTGCTGGCTCACTGCTGCCTCTTGCACTGGGTGCTCTACCTCGCCTGCTTGGCTCTGCTGGCGCTGACGGCGCTGGCGCTGGCCGCCTGGCTGGCCTGGCTCTGCCTGCTGGGGTGGCCCTCCTGGCACCAGTCCCTGCAGAGCCCTGAGGGTCCCCATCTGCTGCTGAGGTGGAGGGGGGCTGCGGGCGGCCCCGTGAGGCACCGCAGCAGCTCCCAAAGCCCCCTGCAGCGCCGCAGGTTCTGCACCATCCGAGAAGTGGAGCTGTACCCGCAGGTCACCTACTGCACCGTTAAAGACCTGGGCACACCGTGCAGTCCTCCGGCAAGCTCCTTCTGCACCACGAAGGAGCTCTGGATCCGCCAGAGCCCTCTGAGCGCTTCATTCGAGGCTCTCTCCGGGGAGCTGATGGTCACAGAGCCCGGCTCCATGAGGACCCCTTCTGGTTACAGCCTGGACAGGGGCCTGAAGGCCGCTGGTGATGGGAGAGTCAAACACCCTGGCAACACCGTGTAAACGCTCCCTCCCGTTCGGCCAGAGGCGGAGGGTCCCGGCTCTGCTTCACGGCCCCTCTGCCACAAGGGGCACCCAGCTCTTCCCTCCGGCGTCACCCTCACGGCCCCGAGGTCTCCAGAGCTGGAAGCATCACTCAGGTACCCGCCATGGGAGGAGATGTCCTGGGCTGGTCACCGAGTGCCGGGGCTGCCTCTGCCTGGGGGCACGGGAAAGCAGAGCTTGCTTCGTCCCCTGCGTCCCTGCTGCTGCTGCCGCTCAGCCGGTGCACGCTGGTGCTGCTCACCACGGAATAAACGTTCCCTCTGCTCAGGTTCACGCCGCCGCCGGCTCCGATTGTCACAGCCCCAGCCCTGCCCGGGCCGCGAGGGACAAAACTGGGGAAAGGGGCACTGAGACCCAGGGAGCTGACAGGGGCCAGCAGGAAACCTGGGGGGGGCTTTGGGCAAGGGGAGATGGCTTTAACCCAGCAGTGATGATAGAGGGGAAAGGTGCACTGAGAGCCAGGGAGCTGACAGGAGCCAGCAGGAAACCCGGAGGGGGCTTTGGGCAAGGGGAGATGGCTTTAACCCAGCAGTGATGATAGAGGGGAAAGGTGCACTGAGAGCCAGGGAGCTGACAGGGGCCAGCAGGAAACCTGGGGGGGGCTTTGGACGAGGGGAGATGGCTTTAACCCAGCAGTGACGGTAGAGGGGAAAGGTGCACTGAGACCCAGGGAGCTGACAGGGGCCAGCAGGAAACCCGGAGGGGGCTTTGGGCAAGGGGAGATGGCTTTAACCCAGCAGTGATGATAGAGGGGAAAGGTGCACTGAGAGCCAGGGAGCTGACAGGGGCCAGCAGGAAACCCGGGGGGGCTTTGGGCAAGGGGAGATGGCTTTAACCTGCTGTGAGGGGCTGGAGAACCGGACAGGTATAACGTGCTGGGAAGGTCAGGCTGCTCATGGATCATCACCCTCCTGGGGCGGTGTTAACACGGAATTCAACACGTGGGGCCGCTGGGAACTCTTCTATTTAAAGTCCTTATCAGTGCCATGGAGGAGGTGGCAGCGCCTTTGTGGCGCAGTGGTGGATGAGAGCGGGTTGGGAGGGATCTGAGCGGCTTCCAGTGGGAATAGCCCCAAGGGAATACCGCTTCCAGTGGGAATAGCCCCAAGGGAACACCGCTTCCAGTGGGAATAGCCCCAAGGGAACACCGCTTCCAGTGGGAATAGCCCCAAGGGAATACCGCTTCCAATGGGAATAGCCCCAAGGGAACAACGCTTCCAGTGGGAATAGCCCCAAGGGAACACCGCTTCCAGTGGGAATAGCCCCAAGGGAACACTGCTTCCAGTGGGAATAGCCCCAAGGGAATACCGCTTCCAATGGGAATAGCCCCAAGGGAACAACGCTTCCAGTGGGAATAGCCCCAAGGGAACACCGCTTCCAGTGGGAATAGCCCCAAGGGAACACTGCTTCCAGTGGGAATAGCCCCAAGGGAATACCGCTTCCAATGGGAATAGCCCCAAGGGAACAACGCTTCCAGTGGGAATAGCCCCAAGGGAACACTGCTTCCAGTGGGAATAGCCCCAAGGGAACAACGCTTCCAGTGGGAATAGCCCCAAGGGAACACCGCTTCCAGTGGGAATAGCCCCAAGGGAATACCGCTTCCAGTGGGAATAGCCCCAAGGGAACACTGCTTCCAGTGGGAATAGCCCCAAGGGAATACCGCTTCCAGTGGGAATAGCCCCAAGGGAGCAGCCCCCTGGCCCCAGGGACAGGCCCCCTGTGAGCTCAGGGCCCCCCGCACCCAACAGCGAGCACAGGCACCCCAGAGCCCTCGCCCCACCTCTGGTGCCCCCCCAGCCACCCAGGGCACGCAGGGCTCCAGCTCTCCTGCACCTGGATGTGAGGGCTCCAGCAGAAACAACAGGACCCAGAGGGGCAGTTCCAGAGCCACTTTTATTCCACCCAAGCATGGGGGGAACTGGGGGATCCCCACCTCCCAGTGACGGGCTCAGAGCAGAGAGCGGGTACCCCTGGAGGCACAGGGCTGCAGTGTGTGTGTGGGGGGGGTTCTGTCCCGTGGGGTCCCCACAGTCTAGGGCACCTACCTTGGGGTGCAGCATTGCCGGAAACCATGGGAAGAACCCATTCTGAAGGAGGGCTCTGGGGGTGACTTTGTCCCACAGAGGTGCCCATGGATACCGGGGGCGCAGAGCTTTGAAGCCCCCCTAAGCACTATTGGGGGTTTCAGGTGACCTGGAGGGGTCCTCAAGGCAGCTGGGGCCCCGCAAGGCAGGGGGCAGAGTGAGGACACAGGCCTGGAGCTCGGTGTAGGCGTGGGGCAGGGTGCCCCGGGTGATCCAGCGCCGGGCGCCGGGCTGGTAGGCATGGATGAGGTGGGTGTCCTGGTAGGTCTCATGGCTGTACCCGCCCAGGACCAGCAGCTCCCCCCCCACCACGGCCGCCCCCCCGACGACGTGGGCGCGGGGCAGGGGGCTCAGCAGGACCCAGGCGTCCAGCTTGGGGCTGTAGACCTCGAAGGCCAACTGGTCCCTGTAGCCCGCCTGCCCCGCGCGCTGGCACAGCCCCCCCGCCACGTAGAGCTGCCCCCCCGCCTCCTCCATGACGTGCCCGGCCCGGGGGCCGTTCATGGGCGCCAGGAGCTGGGCGGCAGCGCCGGGGACGTAGCGCAGGAGGGACCCCTGGCACTGGGACGCCTCGTCACAGCCCCCCGACACGTAGAGGGCACCATCCAGGGCGCACGCTGCGTGCCCGCACAGGGCCATGGGCAGGGGCTGGCACCGCCTGCGCGAGGAGAGAGGGAGGGGGTGGAGGGAGGTCAGGCAGGGCTGCCCCATGCCCTCCATTGCGTGCCCAGCAGGGAGCCCGGCCAGCCCCAAGGAGCCCCAGCGGGCAGCAGCAGCTCTCACACCATGGATGCCCAAGGGCATCACTTCAACACTCCACAGACTCCAAACCCACCGCTGGTCAAGCCACGGTGGGCTCCCTCCAGGGACACCGTTGGCCAAGGCCCAGTGAACACAGCTGGAAATGACCGGTCTTGGCCAAAACCTCATTCAGCGCCCAACAGGCGACACCCAAGGGACACGGGTGCTCCACAGCCAGGAGCCCTCTCCCAAAGGCCACTGCGGGCCACTTCTCCATCGAGGGCTCCGTGCCCCAAAGACCACCCAATGGCCCCCACTGCCAGCACCGGGGCTCCCAGGGCCCAGGAGAGCGAGCGCCTGCGCAGCGCGGGCTCACCTCCAGGTGTCGGTGGCCAGGTCATAGCACTCCACGGTGTCCGTGCAGTAGAGCTCCCCCGAGCTGCCCCCCAGCGCGTAGATGAAGTCCCCGAGAGCCACGGCAGGGAAGTAGCTCCGTCCGCAGCTCATGCTGGCCAGGCGCTCCCAGGAGCCGTCCATGGGCTGGTACCTGAGGGGCAGGAGGTGACTGTGGCCATGAGGGGATGCTGGCACCACTGTGGGCCACAACCCGCCTACAGCCGGTAATTCCCTATGGGTGCCTTGTGGGGAACACCCCCTCCTCTTGAGCAGCACCGAGCCCACTGCGTGCCCTGGGGCAGCTGCAGACAGGACCCCCTGCCCTGTCCCAGGAAGCTGCAACAGCCCCGGCACCCCCAGTGCTACCCCCAATGGAGCCCCCAACGCCCGGGGCCACTCCACCAAGTGCAGCACCACAACACCCTGGGGCCATGGGCACCTCCTGGCCCATGGTGGCTCTCACCTGTAGACACTGGCCAGGGTGTCCCGGACCCCATAGTAGTGCTTCCCGCCCAGGATGTAGAGGCTGTTGCCCACCACGGCGATGGCATGGCGGAAGCGGGGGCCGTCAGGGAAGTCCCCCAGCGCCCTCCACTCCACCTTCTTGACCAGCCCCACGGCGCTGAGGTAGCGGTGGGCGAACCAGAGGTGCCTGCTGGGCTTGCGGGCGGCCAGGTTGGACGCCAGCTTTTCCCCCCCGCAGACCACGACCACCTCCTGCAGGGATCGCACCCGGCACGGCAGCTGCGCCGCGGGGGCCAAGCTCGCCACTATGAGCTCCCGCACGAGCTTGGGGTCCGCCACCCCCGCGGTCACCGCCGGCACCTTCTTCAGCTCCCAGGTGGACATGAGGGCGAAGCGAACGGAGGCCAGGACCTCCTTGGCCACATCCTCTTGGCCGTCTCCATTGGCCTGAAGCCAGCGGGACGCTGCTTCCAAAGCCTCCAGCTCATGGAGGACGTTGAGGCCGTCGGAGCGGAGCAGGCGGATGAGGACGTGCGCGGGAAGGTCCAGGAAGGCCGGCGTGGCCACCACGCTGGGGAAGGTGGCCAGGATGTAGTCCTCTGCCACGCGGCTCACCTGGGCCAGCCCGTAATCCACCGCGAAGGCCAGGACGTCCGGGCCGGTGCCTGGGGTCAGGCCGTGGGTGAAGACGTCCATGCAGAGCGTGAGGAGCCCCCAGGCCTGGTAGCGCAGGGAGGTCTCGGCCGCCTCCAGCACCGCGGCCCAGGGCCCCGCCACAGCCCCGGTGTAGGCGAAGGCGAGGAGCAGGCGCAGCTCGGCGGGGGACAGCCCCGTGGCCAGCGGGGCGGCGGGGTCGTGCGTGGCCTCGCGCATGGGGCACGTGAAGAGCGCGCGGAAGAAGTCGCAGGAGCAGCTCAGGGCCAGGCGCTGAACTGGGGCAGAGGAATGGCTGTGGGGGGGGGGCAGCAGAGGACACCCCCCTGGCCCTGGCCCCAGCCCCAAGGGGAGCAGCCCCATGGGCTCCTCACCCCTGGCTGTCCCCGTCCCCCGCTCACCTGCGATGACCTCGTCCCCTGCCTGCAGCTGGAGGTCGCAGCCCAGGCCCCTGGCGTGGAGCTGCCCCATGGCCCTCAGCGTCTCCCACTGCTCCTCCAGGGCCTCGGGACCCCCCTCCTGGGAGTCCCCATCCAGGCCCAGGGCGCAGGCGGCTGCCACCCGCGGGGCCCCCAGGGCCCGGGCAGCCTCCTCCACCTCCTTCCTGCGGCCGCGGGGCACGGTTCCGCCATAGGCGAAGGCGAGCACGGCCCTCCAGCCCCAGAGCGTGGCGCCAGGGGGCAGGGGGACACGGGGCGGGGGGCCCTGCTGCTGCTCCCTGCTCCTGCCCTCCAGGAAGCGAAGGAAGAAGGAGCTGACGGAGGCCAGCACCACGGCGTGCGCCAGGTCCCCCTCTGGGCCCACGCTCACGTCCACGAGCTGCCCCGTGGCACGGAGGTCGGCAGCCGCGGCCAGGACGTGTCGGGCATGGGCCCTGTCCTGCAGGTTCCACTGGGCCGGGGCCGGGCCCTCCAGAACCCACATCTTGCCTGCGGGAACACACAGAGCGGGGTCAGCGCTGAGCCCATCCCATAGCCACAGCCTCTGGCTGGGGACACGGCGCTGCCCTGTAGGGAGAGCCACTGGCTCCATTGCCAACGCCTGCCCCACATAGCTGAGGCCACCAGGGTTTGCCACTGCCCCACAACTGACGCTGATGCCTCTTGCCAAAACCGCAGCCCCATAGGCAAGAGCAGAGGCCACGCTGCTGCCTTGTACTCGAGGCTGATGGCGCTCACCTGCACCATGGCTGAACCCTCGGGATGAAGCCACTGACCCATTGCCCCATCAAACCCTGCACCCTGCAGCACCTCAGCCCCATCTCCCAGCCCAGTACCCCCATTGAACCCCGCAGCACCTCAGCCCCATCTCACAGCTCACTGCCCCATTGAACCCTGCACCCCGCAGAACCTCAGCCCCATCTCCCAGCCCGCTGCCCCACTGAACCCCTCAGCCCCATCTCCCAGCCCATTGCCCCCATCGAACCCTGCACCCCGCAGCACCTCAGCCCCATCTCCCAGCCCAGAGCCCCATTGAACCCCTCAGCCCCATCTCCCAGCCCGCTGCCCCATTGAACCCCGCAGCACCTCAGCCCCATCTCTCAGCCCGCTGCCCCACTGAACCCCTCAGCCCCATCTCCCAGCCCGTTGCCCCATTGAACCCTGCAGCACCTCAGCCCCATCTCCCAGCCCGTTGCCCCATTGAACCCCCAGCCCCATCTCCCAGCCTTGCCCCATTGAACCCCTCAGCCCCATCTCCCAGCCCCTGCCCCATTGAACCCCACCCCCATTGAACCCCTCAGCCCCATCTCCCAGCCCCTGCCCCATTGAACCCCTCAGCCCCATCTCCCAGCCCCTGCCCCATTGAACCCCCAGCACCTCAGCCCCATCTCCCAGCCCCTGCCCCATTGAACCCCCCATCAGACGCCCCCGAGCGCTCCTCCAGCCCCTGGCCCCGCTCTGGTGCCCCAGGAGCCTCGGAGCCTCCGGCCCCCGCCCGGCCCCCGCCGCCCCCCGCCGCGGCGCCGCCTCACGTGTCACGGTCACGTGTCACTTGCTGGGTGCGGGCGCTGCCCCCGCGTGTCCTTGCCGCGCGTTCCCGCCGCTTTCCGCGCTCCGCATTGGGGCCGTGACCCGCGGGGAATGCGGCGCGGTAAATATAGCGCGGGAGGACACGTGGGCGGCACGAGGGCGGGACCGGCACCGGCCCGCGGCGCTGAGGGCAGAGCCCCCCCCCGGGCCCTGCTCACGGCCGGGAGCGGAGCCGCCCGCAGCACCCGCGCCCTGCCCCGGGCACACCTCGGCGCGGGGAGCTGCGGGCTCCAGCCCCCAAGCACCCCCCGGGCAGGCCCAGCCTTCCCTGGGACCGCCCCGGCCCCTCCTCTGCTGTCCTTGGCTCCCTCCCTCCCTGTCCCCTCCCTTCACACCTCTGTTCCCCAGCCCCACCCCCCTGCTTCCCTTAGGGCCCGCAGTCCCTGTCTATGAACTCACATCCCCATGCCCAGCTCTCCCATCCCTGTACCCTTGTATTCCCACGCGTCCGGCTGAATCCTGTGTGCCCAGAGGAGATCTCCCAGCACTTTCTACCCTGGGAGATGTTTTATCACTTTTCTGTAACTCGTATCTGTTCTTTCTCATCCTTTGCTGTGCCCCTGAGCCTGCCTCTTCTGTAGCCATGATGTTGCCCTCATTGTGTCCCTCAAGCCTGTGTGTGCAAGGTGGACACAGAGGCAACGGAACTTCCGGACAGAAACCACAGAATCCCAGCCTGGTTTGTTTTGAAGGGGCCTTAAAGCTCCTCCAGCTCCATCCCCTGCCACAGGCCCTTGTCCCAAGCCCCTCTCCAGGTTTCCTGCAGCCCCTTTAGGCACTGGAGCTGCTCTCAGGTCTCCCCTTCAGGAGCCTTCTCTTCTCCAGGCTGCCCCAGCCCAGCTCTCTCAGCCTGGCTCCAGAGCAGAGCTGCTCCAGCCCTCGCAGCAGCTCCATGGCCTCCTCTGGCCTGGCTCAGCAGCAGCAGCAGCAGCAGCAGCAGCAGCAGCAGCAGCAGCAGCAGCAGCAGCAGCAGCAGCTTCCCCTCCAGCAGCTCCAGCAGCCCCAGACTCCTGTGATCCCAGCTGTTGATTTGCCAGCATCTTTATTCCACAGAGCCTCATTCCACAGAGCATTCCCAGGAGCTCGCAGGGAAGGTACAGTCACAGCTTGGGAGGCCCCGTCAGCCTCCAGCCCTCCTTGTTGCCGATCTTCATGAGGGCAGCAGTGATGCCAAACCCCAAACAGGACATGGTACCGGTGAAGTAATTGTGAGCTGGAAACAACACAGCAGAGCAGAAAGGACCCCTTAGTGCACCAGTTCTATCCAGGAGATCGTGACAGGCTCATTCTTCTATCCCTCTATCTTCTACTCACAGCCCCTGGAGCCTCAGGAGCGCCGTTTGCCAAGAGAAACCAGCAAAGAGACCTGGGTTTGCATTTTCTCATGTGTTTAGCTTCCAATTGGAAATACCAATTCCTCCAACCCACCACCCCATCTCCTTCACAGGCAGCCTCACACCGTGCACCTCAGTGACACAACCAGCAGGCCCTGCTTCCATCTCCATCAGCTCAGCAACCAGGGAACGGCTCAATTTCACCCCACCTTCAGCAACTGCCTCCCACCTTTAACACAGTCTGAATGCTACAGAGAGCAGAGCTGGCCAAGCACTGCAGGGGCTGACCTAGCCTGGGAGCAGTCAGATACAGCTTGTCCCTCAGAGCAGGGCGGACGTCAGAACGTATCTTCCAGGTAAAATAAAGCACATTCATTCCCAGGAACACGTGGGTTTCCACAGTTCCTTCTTCCATAGCCTGGAGTTTCACGGTAGAACTGACAGTTATAACCAGCAGGGCTGGGCCAGCTCTGGTCTCATTCTGTACATCAGTCTGATGTTACCCCTGGTGCCACTCTTGCAGCAGTATTTACTTCAGCAGACTTGTACAGTGGAGCATCAACCAAACCGGCACAGAATGAACTCAGAGGAGGTGACATCAGGATTCATTGACATTCCCCCCTCTAGAACAGCTTCTAAAACCAGAGGGCCCCATTTCATCACAGGCATCATCCACACTTACTTCTTGCCCCGACGATGGCTCCTGAGGCACAGCCTCCTATGAAGTAGTTCAAGGGGTCCTCCGGCTTCTCCCGGATCTCGGCACTCAGGCAGGTCGTCACACCAAACACGGCCCCCAGCGTGGCTGCAAACGAGAGGCGAAGCCCCACGGGTGAGCGCACCGGAACCCCGAAGGAACCCAGAGCACGCGAACAGCCCTGGGACAGGCACGGCAGGAAAGGGGGAAACGAAGCGAGTTCTGCTTCCAGTTACCCGCGGGCATCGCGTTCTGGCTGTGGGGACACTGAGCACTACACAGGGCCCCTCCGGTCCCTCCCGGCCATCAGCTGGATCATGGAAGTGTTTGGGGTGAAGGGACCTTAAAGCTGCTCCAGCTCCAACCCCCTGCCAGGGCAGGGACCGGGACCCCTTCCACTGGAGCAGCTTGCTCCAAGCCCCTGTGTCCAACCTGGCCTTGAGCACTGCCAGGGATGGGGCAGCCACAGCTTCTCTGGGCACCCTGTGCCAGCGCCTCAGCACCCTCACAGGGAAGAGCTTCTGCCTCAGAGCTCAGCTCAGTCTGTCCCCATTCCCTTGGCCTGTCCCTACAGGCCCGTGTCAGAGGCCCTCACCCATGGTGACCGTGTCCGTCGCCGCCATCTGCACGGCGGCCAGGGCCGTGCCGGGCTGCAGCAGGATGATGCGGTACGCGGCGCCGATCAGGCCTGCAACACAGCACGGGGTCAGTGAGCGCGGGGCAGCGCGGCCTCGCCCGCACCCCCCGGTCCCGGTCCCTGTCCGGGTCCCGGCCCGCGGCGCTCACCGGCGGCGGCTCCCACCCTCGTGGTGAGCCAGGCGCGGCGCGGGCAGTCCTCGCCCTCGGGCCCGTCCCAGTAGCCCGCCATGGCGCCGCAAGGGCACGGCAGCGGCGCCGCGAGCTCTCGCGAGAGGCGAGAGGAGGGGAGGACAGGACCTCCCGCCCCGCCCCGCCCCGTCAGCCCCGCCCACCGAGCCGGAGCCGGAGCGGAGCCGGAGCGGGCGGTGCCGGCAGCTCTCGGGTACACGGGTTCGAATCCCGGCGGGTCTGACCCTGTTCCTCCCGAGCGCCCCCCTGGAACGGCTTCAGGGAGGTATCAGCGGCCCCGCGGGTCCTCCGGTGCTCCCGGGTGTGTGAGCTCCGTGCCTGACCCAAAGCAGCGCCCCCATGTGCGGGCTCTGGTCCCCGCGGTGGGTGGTGCAGTGTGCGTTTGCCTGTGGAGAGCTCTGGGGTCATGGAGTGGGTTGGGTTGAATGGGATTTAAAGCTCCTCCAGCCCCAACCCCTGCCAGGGCAGGGACCCCTTCCACTGGAGCAGCTTGCTCCAAGCCCCTGTGTCCAACCTGGCCTTGAGCACTGCCAGGGATGGGGCAGCCACAGCTTCTCTGGGCACCCTGTGCCAGCGCCTCAGCACAGTCCCCCCCATTGAACTCACAGATAGAAAGCCGATAGGAATTAGGGCTGACTTTAAGAGTCTACTTGAGCAAGACTCTCGAGGTCAGTTTGAGCAAGTCAGTGCACAGAAAACCCAAAGAACAGGGGGAGAAAAGCACACAGTGAAAAGTCAGTTTAATGAAATCTTGCTTGACAAATGATGGCAGGTATCAGAACCGGAATTCCTAAAGCTAGAGAGGGTTACAGGGAAACATGATCACTTTTTAACAGGAAATAAACCGTTTTCTACACTCACTGGCACAACAAGAGGCCACTCAGCCTGCAGGACGGCAGCAGTACCAGGCAATGGACTCCATACCTCAGCGGCTGGGAATGGGGAGAGAAGACGAAGTGTCTGTGGGGGGCTGTTGTTCCTGCAGGCTTCAAAGAGCTTGGACACGTTTCCAGCCAAGGAGAGCTGAGGACTGTTGATGTGGCTCATTCCCTGCCCTCCTCTGGCTGGGTGCCTCATGCACTAGGAACGGGGTACAGAAAGAGGCTGGAACTGCACATTTCTCCCCTTAACGACTGCATTTCCTGTAGGTGTAATCTGAACTGAATGGGTAAGTTTACTCCTGCTGTTCTCTCACCACCATTCTTGCACCATTTTCCCTATCAGTTTATATGCTCGCTTTTATTACACTCTTCACTATCCCCCCCTTGCCTCCAGGAAGTGTGGAAGGCTGTGCCCACATCAGGCAGCAGCCAGAAGATAACAGTGCAGTAACTGCTGGCTGCAGACCTAAGAGCACAGATGGAGCAGGGGGAAAGCTGTTGGCAGGAGGCAAAACAGCTCACCCCCAACCTCCCTTCTAAGCCCCGCACTCCCCCAGCACAGGGAATACATCACCACGCTTGGGGTGGTTTGCTCAATCTCTGATCCAGGCTTTAATGCAGTTTGATAGGGCAGGGTTACATCAACCACAAACCAGAGGGGCAGATCTGGTTTTACCTGTCAGCAGTTTAATAAAAGCCTAGGGCAGAGACTGAAGGAAGAGTTTGGCTTTGGCTAACTTCATTTTGAACAAAACCCGTGGCCAGTTCTGGCTGTGGTTCACAGTACTATTGCCCTCTTCACTATAAGCGCAGTGCAAACATGCTGTAAGTGACTGTGTACCACCACCAAACCCCAGCAGGCAGATAGACTTACTGTGGCCTTCTAGACTTCACGCACCATCACTTTTGGTTTAGGTAAAGCACCTCAAACTGAGACTCTGCATAGACCCCATGGGGTTTGGGATCAGGAAATAACACCATTCCTCCACAAACAGGCTCTGCTAACCAACACCCCTTCTCATTTCCTTCATGCTGCCACCAAGCAGCCTTATGGTGCCAGGCTGTTTAAAGAGAGTAGTTTAAATCTGAGTATCAGAGCGGAAAAAGATCCAATATGCAGATCTCATTTCTTATCTGAAAATACAGAGGTTCCCAGCTCTTGTGATACAGACACAATTGTGTGCGTATTAAAAACCACGCTCTGCTTCTGCTGTGAGCTGCAGGAGATGGGGTGCATCAACAGCTTTGTGCACGGTTAACAAACCCCATCACTCTAAGAAGGAACCTAATTAAGCCAAAAGGCATGAGCAGACAATGCAGAGACCCACGAACAGTGGCACAGCTCCTCACTAGCCCTTTCCACAGCAATCCAAGGTGTTCCTTCAATCAGGAAGGCCAAAGCACCCCCCTGCCCCAACAGCTTAAGTCTTCAGCAATGGTTAACAACAGGTAACAGGCAGAAACATGGTCTTGACTCCCAGTGAACAAAACAGCGCTGCATTAAGACAGAGGCAGTAAGGACTGCTTTCCTACTTGGAGAATTTCAGTCGCTTTCCTGCTACAACCTGGGCCTTCTTTTTCAAGGCATGCTACATTAAATGCTCCTTCCTCTTTCATGTTCTTTGAACGGGTGCATTTTACATCTCCTCAGCCTACAGGAGAAGGAGCAAGAGAGAAATTATCTACCAGTAAACTATTGATAATGGAAATAACCTATAAATTGCCCAAACTGTTCTAAGTGACCTGGTCACTGGGTTTAGCTGAGGGAGGCCCAAGTTCCAACTTCGCTGGACAAGAATATACCTTATGTTTTAATAACAAAACAGAGCTCAACTTTCACACAAAAGGCCCAACTGCTGAGCAAACATCTGAAGCAAAAAGTGAGCTACGGTTACAGTAGGAGTACTTCAGAATTACACACAGGAAAACACATTCTTGCTTTTATTTTGGTGGAACAGAATACAATATCCTTCAGCCCAAACTATTCAAAGCTGGCAATATTACCTTTTTCTTCATGCTGCAAGACTTCAGGAAACAGAACAAGGGACAGGAAGGGTTAGAAGTTTCTATTTAAGGCCGTTAATCCAGCAAGGTATTGAAAAATGTACTCAACTTTAAGCATGAATAGTTGCATTGACTTCAGGAAGATTATTCACATGTAGGTAAATCAGGCAAGTGCTTCCATGGCTTGTTGAATCAAGCCATTAAATGAGAGCTGCTTCAGAGTACAGGTTTACTTGAATGGCTGGCAGAGCTCATTACATGAGCCTGGTTTATTCTTCCAAGGGCTAAACTGCTGTTTCCTCCTCAGCTTTCCTGAAGGTGTAATCTGTTTGCCTCCTCCACTTCACTGTAGCCACAGAAACATATTATTTCCTAAGAAAAAATTGTATGCAACATCTATTGTATATAGTGGCTTAGCTCTCCCTTAAATAGGAACAGAAAAGAACAGTACAAAACAATAGTTTCACTTTCTCAACACACAAGAGCATCTTACCGAAAAAAAACTAAAATAAAAAAAAAAGGTATCACCACAATATAAACCCCCAAATAATAATAATGAAATGGGAAGAAAGAAAAGGAATTAGCAGAATCCTGCAGACTCTGAGGTCTCTTGTTACTGCATTAAAAAACAACCTGTCCTGGTGAAGCACAATGTTTTGTTTCTCTCTGTTTACAAACCCACTAGACAGGGAACAACGGTGCCCACACCCTACACTGGAATTAAAAGGGAAAACACCATCATCTGCCTCATCTGCAGTCCAAAAAGCGAATGAACCCGAAAGGGCAGTCAGTGAACTGGTGAGGACACAGTCTCCCTGCAGGTGGCAGAAACTCCTAAGGGGGAGGAGGGGCTCCAAAAGCAGAATTCGAGTTGGAACCGTGTCGGAAAGTTCTCTCTCGGAGGCCTGCAAGACATGAACTACTGAAGAAACAGTCAAAAGGTCCCACTGAAAAGCTGTGACAAGCTGTAATGTGCCATTTCAATTACAAGGAAGAGGGGAAATGGTTGGGGTTTTGTTGGGTTTTGTTTTGTGTTTTTTGTGTTTTCGTTTTGGCTCATCAATATGATGAGCTTTCACATCCCAAACCACATTCAGGTAGTTTCCAAGTCTGCTTTTTTCTGTGTGGAATCTACTGATCCAGACCAAAAAACCAAACAAACAGAACAGGGATGCACAGTTCTTAAGTCCTGGAGCCTTCAACACTGCCTGAAAGAACAGCTGGCCTGGGGGATCCAGAGGTGCCTGCAAGATGGTGTTCATAGCAGCCTTGCAAGCAGAGGGGCTCACGTCTGCTATGTGCTGCCAACATTCTGCCCATCACCTTCATCATTAGGACCTGAAACAAAGAAAGTTCTTTGTCATAAGAAAGATCTTTTGTTTCTTGCTTTACAACAAGAAACCCTGAGAAGCCCACAGTAGTCTCAGATTTAGGATTTCAAGGACAGATGAGAACTGCAGAGGTCCCCTTCTGCCTGCCTTACATCTTCCTTCTCCAAATGGGAATTCTGTCCACTACCGAATTCTATGTTCTTGACTAATCTGATTGATCTCATTTGGGGATCCCAGTAGCATCCCAGAGCCTATAAGCTCAAGTTTCCAGCCTCTTTAATCCACCCACTGCTTTTGTTCATACTCATTCCTTCTTTCCCCCCCTGCCCTGCAGTGAATCAGGATGGAGGACTGGTCTCTGTCAAAGGCTGAATGTTCTAAGCCATAGGAAAACAAAGCACAGTAACAAGCCAGAAACGCATCCCTAATGCAGTTACAGAGAGGACAGAGAAAGATGTCTGGAAACCAGGAAGCTCTGTTATCTTTCTTGCTTACCACTTCCAACTGATCCTGAAGGTGCAATGACGTCATCATCACTGTCTTCCTCGTTTGATTGCGTTACCTCTGGCTCAGGTGCTACATTCTTCACTTCTTGCTCTTGTTCCACTCTACTCCGCAAGGCCAAGATGCGATGGTGCAACGCAGCGTACAGCTGCCCTGTGTCTTTAGAGCTCGCCTACATGGGTTTAGAAGCAAGGAAAAGGGGCAAAGAATTACAGAAGAAGAAAACACTGCTTATGGAATCCACACCAGTTCTACTCAGTTTTCTAATGGAGGGTTTCCCACACTAGGTCAGAATGGGTTGTGGTAGACATAGGAAGATGCTTGATGGACTGAACTGCGATGGTGAGGGTCTACTCCTCTCTGCTCAGCACCAAATCTGGCTCAC